AAGTGGCCATAAAACTGCCCTTCAGGAAGCCTGAAAACAAACTCCAGAAAAGCTGTTTGAAAGTCCCCTTTTTTTTAAGGTAATGCTGTTATTTACATATTTTTATATATATTTTTTTCTATTGTGTAATTAGCTCTTCCAGTTGAATTGCTGAATGCCTCAATTGTAAGTGACTTTGGACAAAAGCAGCTGCTAAATTCTTTCATTCATTTTCTTTTCCGGCTTAGTCCCTTTATTTATTTGGGGTCGCCCCAGTGGAATGAACCACCAACTTATCCAGTATATGTTTTACGCAGCGGATGTCCGGATGTCCGCAACCCATCACTGGGAAAGTCTGCTAGATGACTAAATGTAAATTCAAATGTTGATAATCTGAATTAAATGGATTGTAAAAGAGACACATGAGCAGTATTAAGACATTGGCCTGATAATATTTCACTTACTTGACCAAAACAGGTAAGAACAAACACATTGTCAAAACATGACAACAATTGATCAGCTAGATATGTGCATGTCATTCACTTCAGTCAGATTGTTTATGTTCTGTGCCTCCAATATGACCAAACACATACAAAAAATAACCCAAAAACACAAAACAATAAATTATACGTAGTTCTCTCCACGTCAAGTTTTGTCTTTTTTGTGTGTGCATGTTTGTTTGTTTGCTCTGAAATGGTATTAAATGAGCTGTTGGGTCATGATTGTGTACTTGGGTCTGTGTGAGTTTAGGTGGGACTTTAATATCGCAGCTAAACACTTGTTATATAGAAATATTATATCCTAAGCTCAAATAACACTTAGAAAGCTTCTATTTTGATTTATAGATGATATACATGGGCAGTTGCAAATGCGCATCTCAGGATATTGATTGTTTATTAGAGAAAAGGTTAGTGACACACAATACATCAGTGGCCATATCGGTATTGACCAAATAAATTATGGATTGTTTTTGCTAATTGATTCATTTGAGATGCATGCTGTTGGCCATTAGTGATTGATTGGTTCTCTTCACATGACTGGACATATCAAATGTTGCAGATAATTGCCTTAGAGGAGTTTATGGTTAAGACAGATTCTAGTAGTGTTTACATTTTTCCACCAGAAACAATCTGTAAATGTTTTTGAGAGAAGCAAAGCTTTTGCCATTTCACTACCATTTTCTTGGTCTTCTGAAGTTTAAGTTTTAATTATAATATCCACTGTATTTGTTTGCATTTTGTTATTTTAAACAGGCTGGAAATAATAATAATAATATATATATATATATATATATATATATATATATATATATATATATATATATATATATATATATATATATATATTTATATATATATATATATTAAGATGTGTATTTATGGAGTTATTAGTTATTGGTATGGACAAAATATTCCATATCACTACATCCCTAAAACAAGTTAAAAAAAAATTAGTAGGGACCAAACCTGATAAGAACAAACATAAACGTCGTCAAGATTCTTTCTCTACAAATCATGGATCATTTTGGACAAACACAAAGACCCTATAAGCTCGGAAGAAACAAACCTTGAAGGAATAAATTACTTGGTTGTTTTCAGCGACAGGCTTCAGCCATTATTTAATCTTCATCTCATCTTTCTCCAACCAGGAGTAAACAAACTTGCATTATCCTTCTTTGCCGTCTGTTTTGCTCTCTGGTTTCGCAACATGTGGAGAGCTGCACAATACTTTCCAGCTTTATCGCAAATTACGTGACATCACCTGGACAGAGGAGCTTGGCAGGATGCACCCGGACCAAACCAATCGAGGAAAATAAATGTATTTATGCTTTTTTTGAGTCAAACTTTTTTTACAACACTCAAACCAAATTTAAGACCTCGTAAAAATGGGATTAATACTTTTTAATACCTTTTAGGGGCCTTAATTTTCTCATAATCGATTTATCAACTTTTAATATTTTTTAAGACCCCGCAGACACCCTGCCTAACGGATGTGAGACAAACCATATATTAAAAAATACTTATAAATAAATTATTTTTTCCCCAAAGAACAAACTATTGTTTTTTTTTTCATGTTTGTTTGCTCTGAAATGGTATGGGCTGTCGGGTCATGATTGTGTGCTTGGGAATGTGTGAGTTTGGTTGGGACTTTAATATTGCAGCTAGGAAATCGTATCAATTAAACTAGTCCTTCTATTAGTAGGGATGGCTGATGTGATACTGACGTTTTGTTAAACTCAAGAAATCAGGGTAAGTCAAGCCTGTTTCTGAAAGAAAGGTAACTTTAACTCAGAGTCAGTTACTGTGGTAACTTACTCTGTGAATCTAACCTGGTCCGGAGCAGGTTTTATTCTCTAAACTCTGAGTTTCTGTCGGTCTCCTCCCCTTTTTTAAAGATGAAGCGTATTTCTCACCTTAGTCTTACATTTCCACACACCTAATTTAGAGCTCATTTTGGAGATGACCATAAAACCGATTGATGGAAACGTCATGATTCAAATAACTTTTGAAAATATGCATAATAAAACATTTGCATAACTGAGTAGGTTAAACTTTCATTTGATAAGAAAAGATGCGCATAAACTACGAAGTGCACTTAACAAATTACAGTATGTACATTAAAAAAAAGTTTGTTAGAGATGATGATAAAAATGTGTGTGAATGGACAAACCAGCAGACTGAGCACACAGTAGAACATCTTAAATGTTGTTTTAGTCATTCTAAAATGCCTTAACTGTTTCAGTATTAGTGTATTTTATTAATTACCTCCAAGCGTCTGGAGCGTGTCAAGATCTCCGCGTCTGGCTTCAAACGCCCCCACGTGTTCATTGTGTCTTCTGAGGCGCAAGTATTAAATAAAAAATCATTAACGCAGCTTGTTCTACCGCAGTAAATTCTGTTTTTACTGTTGATATTTGGCGCAAGTTAATCAGGAAGTGACGATTGTGTTCTCTTTGACTCGTTGGATAAAAACGCTGCTTTATTCGCATCGTTTAGGCATTATTCCAGTTTTGCACAAATTTATGTAAGCCTGTATTTTGATGGAAACTGCTATTGCCTACATTTTTTGTCACACACAGAACAAAGTCACGTACAAGGCTTGTCCTTTTTTCCATAAATATTTAGCTTAACCTTCGACATGTACTGTTACTAGATTAATGGGATTATTATTCTGTATAAAAATTATTTTTCTTTACAGTTCTTAATGTTATATCAACCTCTATCACTTGATCAATAAAAAGGCAGACACACAAGTGCACTGTTAAATCTATTAAAACTGATAAACGTGTATAAAAGTTTAGAAAAAAGTATAAACGTCACACATTATATTACTTATTTTATTATACTTAAATGTTTAAATAATTTAAATAAAAAAATACGCATTAACTTGAGCAGCTGTTTTCCCAGGCTAACTGTCTCTGTTTCACTGATGGTTGCTTCTTTTTAAATATATACACTCATATTTGCTAAAACTTTGCATGAGCAGATCAAGTTCAGCTGGGAAAAGAAATGGTGATCTCTTTTTTTAAGATGTTGCCATGGTCACTCATAATATCTGCGCTCCATTAATAATGCCTTTTTATAGTCACGGTGTGCGCGCTTAACTCTGAGTTGGTCTACTCAAAGTTGATTGACCCAACTCAGATCAGCTTTTCTGAAACCGAAAACTCTGAGTTTTTAATCTCTCGGTAAATCAACTCAGAGTTCAAGTTTAAACTCCGAGTTGTTTGAACCTCCTTACTGAAACAGGCCCCGGGTCATGTAACTAGTGATTCAAAGCATTGATCATTTCAGAAACGTTTAAAAATCTGGCGAACCCTGCGCTTGATTGATTGGGTCAGTCAAGCGAAGTGTAATTTGTGAAAGTAAACTAATGAAAGTCTAATATTTCTATCACATTATAGAACAATTGAAGCATTAAAAAAGACAAACTAATAAAACTTGGCTGTACAAAATTTAAGGGTGCAGTATGTAAGTTTGACCAACAGTGGAACTTGGTATTACATTCCTGGATCAAAACAAATGCAAGCACAGGTTGCCAGATTGAGGAGTCTGACAATCGGGCCTAAAGGCTGATTCAAACCATGTTCTATATAAAAGCAATAACACGCGATAGAAGGAGTATTTTACATATTAAAACGATTTTTGTTCTAACCAACACCTCCAATTGATATATTAGAAACGGCTTCTATTTCTTGCAGTTGAACAACAGAAAACTGTCAATGTTTACCTCAGGTACAGCTCATGTGCTTTATTCAGTGTTAAATGCTAATAAAGTGAGTTTGAATGCCATATTTCACATTACATTCACTGCCATATTACTGAAACCAGCAGCAGACAGTTTACCTTAGATCTTGAAAATAAAATAAACCACTTGAAGTTAAACTAATTAGAACTTGATTTGATTTAGCAGGCACATTTAATAATTAAAGAGGGTTAACATGTATTCAATAAATTATAAACCTTACCATTTTGTAATTGAGTGCATATCCTATGCTTCTGAATGGCTGTTTTTAAATTTCTGTGGTGTTTTGTCTGGTGCAAACAGCCAAATTCCTTATCACTGCAAATCTCGTCACGTGAATCTGCGTCTCATTTCGAAGTCTGCTACTGTTCACCGGAGGTTGTATTTCAAACATGGGAATGAATAAATGAAATATGCGGTTTTCCAATAAGGTAACCTGGGGTGCAGACATATTATTGGCTAAACTGGCATTGGGTGGGTTAAAAGAATCAAAACAAAGACAGCGTTGTGACACGTAACTCACATTTTCAAAACAGAAACTCTGACTTCAGTATTGTTTTTTAGATAATAAAGAATGTTCACTTTGCATGTATCTTAAATATCTACACACATATTATGGTATTTTTATGCTTCAGAAGAGTCAAAAACTTACATACAGCATCTTTTAGGGTACCAACAATTTTCTCCAGGTCATATATATGCTATATATAGATATAGTCTTTGTTTTTGTGCACATGCTTGATTTAAAAAAACTGATTCCCGTTGGTTTCTTTCAGGTCCTGGTCTGGCATACCCGCACTGAGAAGGTCAACCTGGGTAATGAACCAAAGCGGCAACAGGATTCAGTGTTTATAGAAGTCTAGCAATCGACACTGCACTAGTCATTCAACACTGGACGGAGGCCCGCCATCAATGGCACTTTCCAAAAAAAAAACGATGGCAACCTCTGAACTTTAGGATACCTGCTGTGGCGTAAAGGACACATGCCAAGCTGTCTCGGGATGCTGGAATGAACTCTCTACTGACATGCACTGTATCTGCTGGAGCTTCACACTGCGGCGTCACACTGGATTACCTGTAACTTAGTAGAGGCGAAAGCATGGATAAATGAAAACTGTATGAGAAAAACTTGATATTATTCCAAATGTGGAGGTCAACAGACTATTTTGTGGATGCTTGGAGAATCAGATTAATGTCTCTGAACACGGAGGAAAAGGACTGGCTGCTTGAATAATGTAAAGTGAGCCTGTGTGGTGCTGAAAATAAAACTAACTGCCTACAAAAAATGAATAAATAAATAACAATAAAAAGAAATAGTGGATGAACATAACATCCAAAGCGTGACACACCATTACAGGGACAGAACTTTTGCATTACAACTGTCTTTATTCCAAACGACCCTCTTTAAAAGCAAAAAAAGGAAAAAAAGAAAAAGATAACTTTACAATAAATGCGTCTTTAGACAAAATGATCACACAATAGTTCATGGCTATTCACTGTTTAATGCACGGAAATAACAATATTCTGTCTCTGTACTAGGCACCAGAAAAAATGTAAACACATTATAGAAATAAACCTGGATGACACGGTGGGGATGTTGAAATTATTGCACAGCAGAGAGACCCTGTCTGAGAGGATAGAAGCTCTGCTACAGCGGCGGGACTGACGTGTTTGACTGCGCGCTTTTGTTCGGGTAAAACCAACGACCCTTTCTTTTGACCCCCAAAAGCCATCGCAGCTGTACAGTCGTCCAGGTTTATTTGTCTTTCACTCACTGTGCTTCTCTGTAACGCACACATTAAAACATCACAGTAAAGATGGAGTTTCTCATGGAGCTACACAGATGCGGTGGGCTGAGTGGCCGGAGAGAAGGGGCTGAGAGGGGTTTGTCTATCATATGATTACATACATTACATGGGTCTATACAATATTTGCTACGGGGGTTGTAGGACGTCGGGCTACACAAGTTCGGAGAAGGAAGGGGAAAGTCACAAATATGATAGCCATACCTCTTGTCTTTTAAATACTATGACTCACTATTGATTTGGTAAAGATATATTAGAAGCCTGTATAATTGGTCCAGCAGCTTTCTTGTAGCTGATATGTGTTTTGAACCCCCCAAAAATATATTTATATTTATATATATAATAATAGAAGAGAAAAAAATTATAATTGCAAATAAGATGGTCAAAGCTGCCAGTCTCTTGCACACTGTACTCTCACTCACTTGATCAATACACAGAGGGCAGGTTGAATCGATGCTCTCCAGAGTAGTAATGGTTGGAAAGAGAAAGGGGGAGAAAATTTGACAGTACATGAATAAAACTCTGGGTGCCGGTTGTGGTGGTGGAGGAGAGGAGAGATGGAAGGATGTAGTGCCTCTTGTCCTCCATCGTCCCTCATTGGTTTACTTCCAGAGCTGGGTGCTGAGGGTCTGACCGGAGGGGGGAGCCACCCAGCCGCCCATAGGGGCACCGGGCTGCCCAAATGCCATAGGAGCACCAGAACCGTTCAGGTTCATTCCAGACATCTGTTGGTTAATCTGAAAGACACAAAAGAGTTGAAAGAGAAGGAAGAGAAGTGTAAAACAAGACCGTCAATCCAGAGTTCAGACTGCATGATTTTCAAAGTAGTTGTGTGTCATGACTATCTGGGCTAGCGTTCCGTCGCTGCTTTGTTTACATTGCAAGATGGATCGGCGACTGCGTGACCCTAAATTAGGAGAATCACCGACAACTTTGTCCAAACTACTTCTCACAAACGAACAAGCAAGAAGTGACATTAAACAACACAAGGATAAATGGGTCATAATTTCAATTTAACCTTGGAATAAAAATGAAACAACCTTCCTAGCATGCTCTCTCATGTATTGTTTTTAAAATGTGTCGGAAAGTTCACCTTCCAAGCTTTATGCAGGTATGTCTCTCTATCATGTATTACTTTATTCAAGCAGCGCGTGGACTTGTGGGCATGGTCACATTAAAACTAATGAGATCAGACTGAGCAACTAGACATTGTGTTGGTTTCATACTGATTATTTTATCAAACAATAATTTTGCATTTAAAAGTAGACACTTCAAGCTTTCTAAAGATACATGTCTCATGTCTGTGTGTTTTGTTTTCGCGGAGTTTCAGTGCATTTTGCTGATGCGTTTCTAAACAGTTCGTGGAGATAGAAAAGAAAGAATGCCTACACTGTATGTTTTTCTAATTTTGCAAAATCACACACTTTTGTTGTTATTGTGAGTGTACACAAAAAAAGAAGACACCAAACAGATTCGATTGATGTATTGATCTTATCTGTACGATCAAATCTGAAAGTGTAATTTAAGCTTTTTTTAAGCGTTATCAGGAGAAGACGCCTCAAATCGCGTATACGCAGTCTTCGACCCCTGGAGGTTAAACATGTAGATTGTTTGCTTTGTTCTAAAACAAAATGTTTTCACAACGCAGCATTTTAAAAGAGGGTCTATACAGCTGCCCTCATTGGTCAAAAGTGCACCCTTAAGGGATAGTTTGCCCAAAAATGGAAATGGCCCAATTTATTCTCCCTCATCTGGAGTTCAACCTTCATGAAATACTTATGTCGAACACAAAAGAAAATATTTTAAAGAAAGCTGATTGCTGGAAAAAAAAATTACTATGGAAGTCAATGGATGTCAGCTACCAGCATTTTTCAGAAACTATTCTTCAACAGAAGAAACAGTAAGTGAAAAGTGAGTAAATTATGGCAGAATATTCAATTTTGTGTGAAGTATCACTTTAAGGTTCTCTATGAAAAAGAATTCATCCAAATTCATTCATTCAATTTCTTTTTAGCTTAGTCCCTTTATTAATCTGGGGTCGCCACAACAGAATGAACCACCAACTTATGCAGCATATGTTTTACGCAGCGGATGCCCTGCCAGCTGCAACCCATAACTGGGAAAGATCCATACACACTCATTCATTCACACACATGCACTACGGACAATTTAGCCTCACCAATTCACCTATACCACATGTCTTTGGACTTGTGGGGGAAACCGGAGCACCCAGAGGAAACCCACGCATACATGGGGAGAACATGCAGACTTCACACAGAAATGCCAACTGAGCCAGCCAAGGCTCGAACCATTGACCTTCTTGCTGTGAGGCAATCATGCTACACACTGTGCCACCGTGACACCCTTTAACCAAATTGTAAACCAAAATGATTGATATCCTTTGCAAACAGCAAGCTCAGTAAAGCAGACAAGGAAACTAATAAATTATAATTTTGCAGACAAGGTATGGAAAAGGTTGAAAGTTAATTAGTTTGTTAGTTAATAGTTTTTACTTTACTATACTGAATGTATATACTAGAGGACCTAGTGGAAACCCACACAAACATGAATATGATGTGCAGAACATGCAAACTCTGCACAGAACCGGAGACCTTCCTGCTGTGAAGCAACCATTCAGCCATTTTCTATATTCATTTATTCATTCATTAATTTTCCTTCAGCTTAGTCCGTTTATTTGTCAGGGCTTGCTACAGAGGAATGAACCGCCAACTTATCTAGCTTATGTTTTACACAGCGAATGCCGTTTCAGCAGCAATCTAGTACTGGGAATATTCCAAACACACTCATTCGCACACATTCACTATGGCCAATTTAGTTTATTCAATTCACCTGTACCACATGTCTCCGGACTGCGGGGGGAACTCGAGCCCATGCAAACACAGGGAGAACATGCAAACTCCACATTGAAAGGCCAACTGGCACAGCCGGGACTCAGTGACCTTTTTGCTGTGAGGCGACAGTACTAATATTTTGTAACATTAGAAACATCCTTTTACTTTAAATCAATTAAAAGCATCCTAGCTGAATCAAAGTAAATGAATCATACGCTAACAATGCCATGTATGCTAAACTCTTACACAACACATAAAAAACTGGGAAATTAAAATAATCTTAATATTGAACAATAATTCAATATTAAATAATAACAATACATTAATATAAGTTAAGGCTTAAGCAGATGAAGAACCATGCATCTTAACATCATTTATACAAGTACTTAAATGTGGCCTACAGTATAAAGGGTTAATATTGTTTGTACTCTGCAATTGAATGCTTCAATTACTGCAGCTGTAGTTGGCTAAAATGCAAACATAAAACTATTCTGAAATAAAAAATAAAATCCACTATAATTGGAGTGCATACAACTTCAAATTGTTTACTTGCAAGTTTACTTCGCTTTCAGGATGCTCTCAATGAAGATCGCTAGATTTTAAACAGAGCTTTTGGCACTAAAAAGAGCAATACACTTGCTTTTAGCAGTGTCGGCAGAAGCATGAAAAACAAAAGTGGCGTTTTTACACAATAAACCAAAGATGCGAGCTGCTATTTCACCCGTGAATGGCCTTTCCCTCCAATGTTCCTATTTCACCTTTTTTTTTCCAGGTTAACACTTTTCTGATCTTTAAACTTTCTCACCCGTCTTACTTCTCTTCGTCTACACACACTTTTTATTTCTACACCTCTACCATTTTCACCAGAGAATCGAGTAGTGTGCGGTTTGTGGCTGTGGGGTGTCCTATAAGACATGTCTGTCTGATTTATACCGCTGTCTCTACAGCTCATAGCCAGCAGAGAGAGCAGAAACTAATGGTTTCAAATAAGCAGCTCCCTATTTTTCATTATTAACTTGAATTCTGGGAAGTAAATGTAGGCAATCTTTGTCCAGCTGTGAAAAGGCATGTATAATGAAAAAACAGGGCTGTTCTATCTATGAAATAAGAGTTTGAAACACTGTGCTGACAATCAGTGACCAAAAACTACATAATTGACCGGTCAGTGGGTTGTCTGGCATGTACGGAGGGTAAAATGAATGACCATTTTTATTACACAAAATAGTCTGTTCGAAGAATAATGTAAAAGGCAACGGGAACAATGTTCACAGCACATAATCGGTTCAAAAAGTTCAAGAGTAATTTTCTTGAAAGATATTGTTGAATGTGGTGGATTTGTGACGCAGGTGGTGATTTGACGGCTGTAGAGACGTGATTTTGCCTTGCTTGACAGTTTAACAGCCAACTAATCCACTATCGGCATGCTAAAAACGTCTTGGTGAAGTCTCTCAAATTCATCCCCTGCAGCAGCTCTTTAAAAAAACAGTAGCTGAAACAAAGACAACCTTGTTAGTTAACTAAAGGGTTGGTGTTTACATAATGTTTATACAATGTTATGCTAATGTTTATTTAACTGCTTATTCACTATTCAGCAGCTCAGGCTAATCTGTTGAGTGAAAACGCTGAAGTGTGTCAGCACACAGAGGTTAGCCAATCAAAAAAAAAAAGGCGTATTTACATTTAAAAGACTAAAGATCCAGCAGAACAACACAGCTTGCTTAATAAATAAAGAGTAAGGCATACTTAGTAAGCTAAATTAGGACTGATGTTTTTTTAGACTATCAATGCTACTGCTTCATAATTTAGGGAGTGAATTTTTTTGACTGAGCAAGGATGATCAAAACTGACAGGAAAAAAACATTTGTCACAGGAAAACTAGTATTAATTAGATAAAACAAGTATTAATTAGAAATAGGTTAATTTTAATAGTTAATCAGCTAAGTTTGACTTTTTTAGTATACATTCAGCCAATCTATGGGTCTGGCTATAGCACTTTTGGTTTAGCTTAGCATAAATCATTCAATTGAATTAGACCATTATCTAACTCAGAAAATTTAAGGGTGCT